TGAGAAATGTGGGAAAGAAACTACTAAGAATTTCAAACAGAAATGTCCCCCTAACCAAGGTATTAAACTACATTCATAAACAAGGAATTCTAAATAAAAGCGCAAAGAGATCACATTTGAAACCCCTCAGTTAGGAGTAATATGAAATAGTGGTGATGATATGGAGCTTGATGGAGGAATAAATTGGTAAGACAACCCAGAAACCAATTTGGCAATACCTTTTAAAACTGAAGATAGTCTGATCCATCAATGCTAGTGCTATGTATAAAACCTAGTGAAATTCTCCAAGTATATTTTTAAATTTTTGTTGTGATAGCTAAAAAGGGGAAACAACTTAAAAATCTGTCAATGAGGAAATTGGTAAATAAATTTGTGTACACAGCACAAATAAAATACTAAACATTAAAAATTGATGAACTGGATTTTCATGTATCACAATGGTAATTTTTATAGACATAATGATTAATAAAATGGATGAACAATGAGAATATACTGCCATTTATGTAAAGTTTTAAGCAGGTAAACATAAACTTGCCAATTGTTCAAGGATATATTCTTTTGCAGTAAAATTTAGCACAAGGAAATGCAAATGTAGGATCATGTTTCCCTCTATGGAGGAGAGAGTGGGAGACAACTGGGAAGGCAATATAAAAGGGGCATACCTCAGCAGCAGTTTTAGATCTTAATCCAGGCAATATGTATAAAGCATTGGTTGCACTTTTCATTTTACTTTTTTGTGTTAAATACTTGGAATGTATTTTTTATTTAATTATCAGAAGCTCTTACAAAAAGTTCCCAGGACTGTCTCAGACTCAGCAGATTAGACTTCTCAGAGGTGGAACCCATGAACCTGTCTTCTGAGTGACCCTGTTATACTGGTCTAAGCCAGGATAAGGCTATTCCAGTGGAGTTTGGCTCCCCCACAGTCTATTATACTTTTCACTCTACAAGTTGACCAAATGTTAGCTATGATACAAGGTGATGAGGACATAAATGCAAATAAGACAGTTCCACTGGCTTTAAGAGTAACTTCAGTTATAAAAATGTTCAAAAACTTCTCAAACCAAACATTCTTATCTATTGCCTAAATCCTAGTGTTCCCAAATCCTCTTTTCCTGGTGTGCAGAACATCCACTGATCACTGTACCTGACTGGGATTTCCCCATGCTCCTTTCTGGAGAAATTCCTGGCATGGTCCTCTGCCTTGACACTAGTGGAATCTACTACTTGACTATTTGACACTACTTGACATCTCACAACTTTGCCATTTATTCACTGTTTGGCCTTGGATCAGTAGTGTCATTTCTCTGAGACTCCACTTCTGACCCAAAAGCTGAGTAGATGAAAATTTAGTTTGGGACTAGTTGAATGCATGGAATGGCAAAGCTATGGCCAGAGTTTGAGGCTTTTAGACAGCTATTCTTTTTTGTGACATTTTTTATTTTTATAGTTACACATGGCAGTAGAATCCATTTTGACATAATTATAAAAACATGGAATATATCTTGTTCTAATTCAGACCCCAGTACCTCTCCTGCCCCTTCCTTCTCCCCACTCCCTGTTCACTTCCATTTGTTGATCATTCTACCACTTACCCATAGTTATTTTTTAAATTAATTTCTTGTAGATACACATGAAGGTGAAATTCACTGTGGTATATTCATATATGCACATAGGAAAGTTATATCAACTTCATTCTACTATCTTTCCTTTTCCCATCCCTTCTCCCTTCTCTCTTCATTACCCTTTGTCTAATTTGCTGAACTTCTACCCCCCTTATTGTGGGTTAGCTTACACATCTCAGAGTAAACATTTGAATTTTTTTGGGGGGGATTGGCTTGTTTCACTTAGCATGATAGTCTTCAGATCCATCCATTTACTGGCAGATGTCATAGAGTCATTCTTCTTTATCACTCAGTAATACTCCACCGTGTGTACGTATCACATTTTCATTATCCATTCATCTGCCGAAGGGCACTAGGCTAATTCCATAGATTAGCTATTGTGAATTGAACTGTTATACCTATTGATGTGGTTGCATCACTGTAGTATGCTAATTAAAACCCTTTGGATATATAACCTGCAGAGTGGGGAAACTGGGTCAAATGATGGTTCCATACCTAGTTTTTTGAGGAAACTCCATACTGCTTTCCATAATGGTTATACCAATTTACAGTCCCACCAATGTATGAGTGTACCATTTCCCCCATATCCTTTCTATCAGACATTTATTCTATTTCATTGCCTTTCCTAGGAGCACCAAATATTGATTTGGAAATTTGTATATCAGTGTTGTTTTCTTTTAAAATTTTTTAGTTGACCTTTATTTTATTTATGTATTTATATATGGTGCTGAGAATTGAACCCAGTGCCTGAAACATGCCGGGCAAGTATGCTACCGCTGAGCCCCAGCCCCAGCCCCAGCCCCTGTATGAGTGTTTTGTGAGAAAGATAGATTCTGATGACCTCTTAGATGTTTCTAAGGAATTATATACACATACTTGACCTTCAAAGCACTTCTGAGAAGGTCCTATTCAGTGTCAATTCTACTTGCAGTAAGGTATGTAAACTTGAATATATCTCTTCAGCCCTTTGAGGCTCATGAGTTTAAAAAGGATAATATCAACATACACCTCACATTGTTCTGGTAAGGAATAAATGAAATCATTGTTACACAGACACTTTAAGAATCTAGTCTAGCCAGGTGTGGTGGCATATGCCTGTATTCTCAGCTACTCAGAAAGCTGAGGAAGATCCCAAGTTCAAGGGCAGCCTGGGCAACATAGGGAGATCCTGTCCCAAAATAAAATTTAAGTAAATGAATGGAACTGGAAAACATCATTCTAAGTGAAGTAAGCCAGACTTAGAGAGACAAGGGTCAAATTTTTATCCTCACATGTGGAAGCTAGAGAGAAAAAATAAATTTAAAAAGAGATGAATAGAGGAGAGGAAAAGAATCAAGGAGGAAGAAGAAAGGGAGGGAAAGCAGAAGAACCTGGGAACAAAATCGACCAAATTGTGCTACATATACGTATGAATACATTATGATAAATTCAATTTTTTATGTATGATTATGACACATCAACAACATATACATGTAAATAAATAAAAGGAAGATCAAAACAGTAGAGAAAGTAGGGAGGGAAAGGAGAACCACTGGGGAATTAATTGGAGTAAAATTATCTTTTGTGCATATATGAATGTCACAATGCACCACATTATTCTGTATAATTATAATGCACTAATAAAAACACAAGAAATGAAACTTTTAAAAGGGCTGAAGATGTAGCTCAGTGATACAGCACATGTTCAGCGTGTGCAAGACCCTGTGTTCCATTCCCAGTACAGCTGAAAGAAAGCAAAAAAGGAAGGAAGGAAGGAAGGAAGGAAGGAAGGAAGGAAGAGAGGAAGGAAATGAGAAAATCTAGTCTGACCAGGGAAGTCACAACTGGCAGGCCAACAAGTGGACCACTGACAACTACAATGTGAGACTTAAGTAATGTGGGCAGTTCTCTGCCACATCCCTATATAAGTTGGGTTCCCAGACCCGGCTGGATAAGTGGGCCCCAACTGAAGACTGGAGAGGGGCTGGAGGCCTGCTCATAGGAGGCCAGGATAGAGATGGCAGAGCAGGCAGGAGCACAAAGAACACGGAGTTGGTATGAGGGCTCTTAATGAAGGACAGTCAGTCCCTTCCCCATTTAATTGCTGCCCTGGAACACAACTAATATAGAAGTAGCCTGCTAAGAGCCAGGAAGACAAGACAGTCCCAAAGGGTGGGGCTTCAAGTCCAGGAAACAGCCTCCCAAGACCATGGATGTGCAGTGTGCAGACCATGAAAGGCCATGGCAGATCTTCCTATGGGCTGGTCACTGACACTCAGGGAGGGCAGTGAAGCACATAGACCCATTGTGTACCCTCCATGGCCCCAGCCCTGTGGTCTCTTCCAGTGGGATGGGCATTGCCCAATGCTTTGGTGGGGTGGGGTGATGAGCACACATTAACACACGTGAGCACAGGTTTGTGCACGTGAGTGCATGCATACTTAATGGAATCACACCTGGACCCAGTGCCCTGGCCTGGCCCAGAGACCAGAACAATCCTATCCTGGGTGGGGATGGAAAGAAGGACTGCAGGCGAAGAAGCCCCAGAGGGCCTGCTCCCCACCCCTGGCCAGAACGCAGAGCTGGTGGGCCCACCCCAGGCCGCTTCCTAGTGGACACCTTGGGCGCAGACCCCTCGCTGTGCTGGTGCCCCGAGGGCACATCCAGGAGGAGCAGGGGACAGGGCTGGACCCAGACGGACGCGGGACCAGGTGGGGAGAGCCAAAGGCGTGGGGTCTCCAGACACCGACACCCAGACACCCCCTCCCCGGGGGGTGGGGGGCTCCACCTGTGCCAGGGCGGGGGCGGGGGAGGGAGGAGGAGCAGGTGACGTCACCCGCGGTCCCCGGGTGCCCGCGGCGGCGGCGACAGCCCGGCCGCGTGACCCGTGCGCGCCAATGGCCCGGCGGTCTCCGGGGCGACGCGGAGGGTCCGCGCTCCACCGCCACCGCGCCCCCGCCCCGCGTCCGCACTGCAGAGAGCGGTGGCGAGCAGGCGCCGGCGCACTGGCCCACGTGCCGCGCCGGGAGAGCGAGAGCTGGACGCAGAGCCGGCGACAGGGCGAGGGAACGAGGGGCGACCGACCCCGCC